TAACATGAATTGTTCTTTCCTTTCTGTTTCTGTGTTTGGTACAGAGTCTCACTACACAGCTTGGGCCCGTAGAGATCCTTCTGTTTTCAATCTTCTCAGCACTGGTGTTACAGACATGCACCACCACACCCAGACTCAATGGCCCACTCAGTGCACCTCAGGGACAGGACTGGTATAGCATGTGGGACCAGAAATCGAATGTTTTCTCTTTATTAAGAAAGAAAAAAATGTGGGTTTTTTTTTGTTTTGTTTTGTTTTGTTTTTTTTAGATAAGGTATTTACTTGGCCTAGAATCATGGCAATCTTCCTGCCTCAACCTCCTAAGCCACCACACCTGGCTCTTGCTTATTTTACTAGACTTTTTTTTTTTCTTTTTCTTTTCGGAACTGGGGATTGAACTCAAGACCCTTGTGCTTGCCAGGGAAGTGCTTCTTGCTTATTTTAAAGGATGAAAATCAGTGATTCCTCCTGGATTTCCTCCTAATGAACACAAAACATTTCCCTTGTTTCATAGGAACAAGATCTTAGCAAAAAGCCTGCGTTGGGAATAGAAGGCTGGATCACAGAGAACCTTTGGTATTTCACCTTTTTTAATCACTTGAACTTCTGGAGTGGTGAGTCTACGACAGAGACTGTGAACATCCAGAGCCTTGTGCCCTCCCTGGCACCCTCCCAGCTCACTGGGAAGCTGTTGGACCTCTCAGCAATTACGCAGCCATGGGTGGCTCCAGGAGGCCCCAAAGCCCTCAGCAGAGCATCATCAGGTCCAGTGACACCTCCCACGTGAGAAGACAGATGGGGTGCTGCGGACAGGTGCAGGGACAGGGCTGGGGGTCTCCAGCCTGGTGTCACCCACTTTATCACAGTCACAGGAGGCTCACAGCTGCAGTACCTGTCCTGGTCGCATCTGCAGCCCCCTGAAAGGCTTGTTTGTGTCCACGCCACACTGCTCCTCTGAGCTGTATCATGTTGTCTGTGTTAGCATGTGGATTGTATTTGCTTTCTGTAATTATAAAGCCATATACTGAGTCTGGTGACTGGAGTGGGCTTTGTTGTAGAGACAGGGACTTGTAGGCTGGGCCAGTATGGAGCACATATTATACAGCCTGGCCAGTCTTGAACGCATCTCATTATACAGCCCAGACCAGCCTAGAGCCATCCAGCCTTCCAGGGCTGGGATTACAGGCTGCCCCACGGTGTCCACCTGGTGGCTTTGCCCTCGTGGTGCTTCTCTTTATTTGATAGGATTATTTTTCCCATCTGTCCCACCCCTTCTATCCTTAGCATCCTGTAATCCACCCTTCTGAGAAATGAACTAGTGCCAGGAGCAGAGATAAACAGAGCAGTGTGGCAGTCAAAGGCAGGAGAAGTCAGCAAGTCCAGCCCAGGTTTTGTGCTGCCCGGCTGTGTGCAGGGAGCAAACACAAGCCGAGCATTCCTGTCCCAGGCCATTGGGACCATCTGTGAGCCCAGGTGGAGGGGTTCCTGCTCCAGAAGATGGTTAGGCTCAGGTCCAGCTGCACTTCCTGGGGCTCCCCAGGGCATGCCTCTGGTGATACGATAGGCTCTCACAGCTCCAGAGAGGGAGCGACCCCGACAGACACTCAGGCAGCTGAGGTGGGAGGACTTCCATGACTACAGGGCTACCGTGGGCGACATAGTGAGTTCGAGGCCAGCCTGGAGTACATAGAAAGATCGAGTCTAAAAAAACCAAAAAAGGGGGGCTGGTGAGATGGCTCAGTGGTCTAAAGCACCTACTTAGAACAAGCTTAGCAAAGCACAGGGACCATGGTTCAATCCCCCAGCATCACATGCCAGCCAACCCCGCCCCCTGGTGGACTGAGCTGGCAACACACACACAAATAAAATTTAAAAAACAAAAAAGGACAGGAGAAGCCAACATGAGAGGCACACTCCGCCATCTGGATGGGCAGAGATCTGAGCTGGCATGAGCCAGCTATGAAGTCTGGATGCAGTCCTGCCATGTCCCCCCAGGTGCCACAGGGCCCAGGAAGGTTGCAGAAGTAGGCACTAAAGGAGAAGCCAGGCTGGGATGCAGAAGGCCAAAGCAGATGCAGTCAGTGTGAGTCCAGGCAGCCTCCTAGCAAGGAGAAGGGAGTCATAGGAAGTCTGTTTACATTCACAAGATGAGAACTGCAGCTTGGCTATGTGAACCATAGTCATGTATGAAACTTCACATGGTCAGGAGTGCTCAGGCAGGAAGGCCACAGTACCACTGGTACTATATTGGCCAAGGCGACTTCATTGACTAATCCCAAAGGAGCGATTGGCCTTGGTTATAGTCTCAGGATAGTTACTAGCTGAGCATTGTCATTACTAGTGCATAAGAGATTGTACCCAGGACCTTACCGCAGAGCTACATCTCAGCACTTCTTAATGTTGGAACTGGTTCAGGGTAGTTTGCCAGCTGCCCCCAGCCTGGGCTCAACCTTCGGACCCCCTGCCTTTACCTCCCACAATGCTGGGCTTACAGCCTTTGCCACCCCCTGCTTTATGCTTCTGTTAGCACTGGGTGTTGGGGCAGCAGTTTCAGGGGTACAGCCACATGTGAAGATCACAGAGTTACACAGAAATTACAGTTTAACCAGGCACAGTGGCACACCTGTAATCCTAGGAGGCGGGAGTGTGCAGGCACAGAGATAAGATGGCAAGATGGAGCCCAAAACGGACAATTTAGTGTACCCTGTCTTACATTTAAGAAGGCTGGAGTATAATCAAGAAAGTCCTGATTCAATCTCTAATATCACAAAAACAAAACTTTGTGGTGCTGAGGATTGAACCTACGGCTTTGCACATACGAGGCAGGTACTCTATCACTAAGCCACATTCCCAGCCCCACCTCTTATATGTTATTTTTAGTTTTTAGATAGTCTTTATTATTTTCACACACACACACACACATATAAATACTCCATCCTGGCGTGGTGCCACATACCTGTGATCCCATAACTGGGAGGCTGAGGCTGAAGGATTGTTGTGAATTCGAGGACAGCCTGACCTACAAAATGAGCTGAAGTCCAGTCTGAGCTACCTACCAAGAACCTGTCTCAAAAAGCAAAAAAAAAAAAAGAGTACTCTGCCATAAAGAAGGATACACTTGCAGGCAGGGAGCTAGCTCCCAGTACTACATGCCCTGCCAGCTCCAGAACCCTGGGTGTGAACTGCATAGCAAGACCCTGTACCAAATAAATAAAAGAAAGAAAAAGGATACACAAAAACAACAACAACAAAACTTTGAGCCGGGGAGATGGCTCAGTGGAATAAGCGCTTCCCTGGCAAGCGCAAGGGCCTGAGTTCAATCCGCAGTTCTGCAAAAAAAAAAAAAAAAAGACATTGTGCAGAAATGGTAAGCAAATGGCCAATTGGGGAGAGAAGGTGGGGGTGACAGAAAAGAAGGGAAACATGAGAACAAAGCTTTTGTAAATGTGGAGGAGAGGAGGGCTTGAGGGAAGGTAGGGAAGGTGAGGGGGGGCTTCTTTCTCATTTTTATTTATTGGGTTTTTTTCTTTCTCTATAAGATGGTTGAAATATGTAGTTCAGGCTGGCCTCAAAACTGCAGCAATCCTCCTGCCTCAGCCTCCCAAATGCTGGGATTACAGCTGTGCACTGCCACACCCAGCTCTCCTAGTTTGCAAAGTCCAAAGGTAGATGGCAGAAATCTCCCAATATTTCAATCATTACCCAAGGAGTAAGAAAACTTCTTACATGACAAATTTTTTGAAAACTAAGAAAGGAAAGATGGGGGCCAGGGAGATAGCTCTGTTGAATAAGCACTTGCCTGGCAAGCACAAAGTACTGAGTTAAATCCCTGGTAGGTGGGGGGGGAGGGGAGAAAACTTCCTCCACTGTGAGCAAGAAGGAAGCTGGAGAAGACAAATTCTGCCAAACACTGAAGTAATACACAAGCACTTGCCTGGCAAGCGCAAGGTCCTGACTACAATCCCTGGTACAAAAAAAGAAGTAAGGGACACAGAAGGTCATTCAGTGTCCCCCACGGAATATCCAGATGGGAACAGCATGCACGGCAGAGATCATTCCTAGAAGTGTAATTATTTCCAAGAGAAAGTTTTCAAGAAAAGCTCGATCTCGGGTGGGGTGAAAGGCCCAGCAAGGTGGGTATCAGGGGAGATTGTGGGTATGGAGACCCACACAATGGAGGGCTTTTGTTTTGTCCTTATCTTAAAAAGCACATGGAAGCCTGGAGTTAAGGGATTTACTGAAGGTCAGGTTTGTGTTTGAAAGCCTCACCTCTAGTGAGGAAGGACCCCAAAAGGGAAAATGGTATGTGCTTTGGACTAGGATTCTATTTTCCCAGATGCTTTGCTCTGGTTGGGGATGGGCGAAATGGATTTAGGAGGCTGAGGCAGGAGGATTGCCATGAGTTTGAGACAGCCTGGGCTGTGTATGGAGACCTTGTCTAGGAAAAACAAAGACAGATAATTCACAAAGTGTTATATCTGGGGGGCTGGGGAGATGGCTCAGTAAAATAAGTGCTTGCGTGGTAAGTGCAAGGGCCTGAGTTAAATCCCTGGTTCTGCAAAAAAAAAAAAAAAAAAAAAAAGCGATATATCCATCGGTGGCCACTGCCCTTGTTCTTTTTTGCATTCTCTTCCTACCCAGTATTCTCTTTTTGGGCCGGCCAAATAGCTCAGCAGATTAAAGTGCCTGCAAGCAGACTCAGGGGCCAGGGTTCAATCCTCAGGCCTGTCATGCCAGCCTGTCCCAGGGCATGCTGAGACAGCAATTGAGACTGGCCTGCTGGCCCAGGCCTTTTAATCCCAGCTCTTGGGAGCCTGTAAACAGGTGGATCACTATGAGTCCGATATAGTGAGATCCTGAACACCCTGTAGACCCTTCCCTGAAATACAAAAATTAAAAAATAAAAGTATTCTCTTTTCTTGTTTGTGAAGGATGACGCTGTGTCGCACAGGTGAGCCTCCACCTCAGTCCCAGTGCTGCCTCCAGGGTGCTGACATAATTGCTGTGACCACCGAGCCTGGCACCATCATCTTTTATGGTTGTTGTTTTTTCTTTTTGCGGAACTGGAGATTGAACTCAGGCCCTTGCGTTTGCCAGGCAGGCACTTATTCCACTGAGCTATTTCCCTGGTCCTCATCTTTTATATTAATAATCATGTTGGGGGCTGGGGAGATGGCTCAGTAGAATAAGTGCTTCCCTGGCCAGCACAAGGGTCTGAGTTCAATCCCCAGTTCCGCCAAAAAAGAAACAAAACACAATAATCATGTTGGCTGAGCACATAGTAGGGCAGCTACTGAATCTGTGCAAAGCCTTGAGTTCCATCCCCAGCACAATCCTCCCTGTCCCCCAAAGAAAAAGCGTAATAAACTCAGTATTCATTGAACTGGGTGTGGTGGCCTTCACCTGTAATCCTAGCACTCGGGAGGCTGAGGCAGGAAGGTGCACAGTGAGGCACTGCAGAGAGAGAGAGAGAGAGAGAGAGAGAGAGAGAGAGAGAGAGAGAGAGAGAGAGAGAATATTTTTGGTTTTGTTTCTGAGGCAAGGTCTTCCC